CGTTGACGGGGGAGCAAACGTCCGACGTGTGGGAGCGAGCGGCGCTCTCCAGTGAAACTGAGATAAACCTCTGAAGGCAGACGAGCAGGAGATGTTTTCTGTGGCAGCATGAACCAAACAACATTTTTACAAATCCACTAACAGCGGAGAGAGGGGGGGGGGGGAAGAACGCTCCGCCCTGTGATCCTCACTGTTGCCTCAGCGCAGGAGCTCAGGCAGACAGGCGAGGAGCGGGCGTCCTTCTATTTGGCGGGGATCTTCGCTCGCTTCCGTGCGATGGCGTCCTCCACGGCCTTCAGCTGCTTCAGCAGCTCCTCGCGGCGCGACAGTGTGTTGCTGGGTTTGTTGGAGCCCGACGCCGAGCCGGAGCCGGAGCCGGTGGCCGAAGCAGAGCCTGGAGCGGCGGGTTTGCCTGACGGCACCGTGGGGGCTTTGCCGGATGACTTCGGGGCAGGTGACAGAGGACGTTTTCTGAATGAGACACAAGAGAAACACGAGGTCACAGTTTTTACTCAGAAACAAGCAGAAAGAAAAACTGAAAGAAAAGAATTTCTCCAGCCACAGTTTGATTTTGACATTTCCTCCCGAGGGTGACCTCAGCTGTCACAGAACCTGATAAACAAACCCGACAGAGTTAATATTATATATTAATTATGTATTTTATTGTTTATCCTCAGCAGATAAGACTTTAATCTGCGTCATGGATGCGTCAACAGAGCAACTACATGTAATCTATGCTTCTCTGTGGCTCCTTCCTCATTTTGCCAAAACACTTGTGGTCAAACAAACTTCACGTTCTGAAATCCCTGATGTGACTCTGCTGAGTGAGAACGGATCCGTGCAGGTGATACAGACGACTTATCACTCCACTTCACAACCTTCACACTTCCGGCTTTAACGCCGCTTCTAACACGTTCAACTTCTTTAGTCGTGAGTTAAAAGGTTAAATGTCACAGTCCTACGTCAGCAAAGAGGTTTGCACCAACCTGTCTCCGTGGGGGGGCAAGGGTCGGGGCCCTTGGCCTCTGGGTCGATCCATTCGAGGGGAGAGCGGGGGTCGACCCGGTATCCTTTTATCACGGACTGAAAGCAGAAGTGTGAAAGTTAAAGAGGATGAGTGGTTCACAAACGAGGCCAAGACATCGATCGTTAAAAAGTTTAACATCGCTGTGGTTCAAGAAAACTGCTGCGTCGTCTCTTTTAAAGGTTGAATAAAGTTTGGGTGAAGTCATTTAGGTGCTTTACGGTCTTTATGTTCTGAACATCGAGCTGCAATGAAGACGACTCAGGACGAGAGAAACTGTGGATTTAGTGGAAGCGATTGTTTTCGAATAACCAGAGCTACAGGATGTAAAAATTAAATACCAGACAGAGAATTTACACTTGTGGGAAAAACACATTAAATCATCTTTGCTGCCCGAGCAAAATGTCAAGAGACAGATTCAGAAGGTTCAGTAGGAAGCAGATAAAAAAAAGTCGATTACCTTTTACAACACCCTGATAAGAGCTGTTAAGTTTTTCTGATAAGAATTTAAAAACTCCCTGACAACCATCATTAAGGACCTGAAGGATAAACTGTACTTTCTCTGAGTGAACACTGTTCCTCTAGAGTTAATGTCAGTGGAAGAAGTAAAACGTGACGCTGTTCAATGAGCAGGAAGGGAAAAGACGGTGGGTTTCAAAATGACGATCGCCGTTTCAAACAGCTGATAACGTGAGTGTGATCATCGTTGATGTAATCGTTGTTAATCATTCATCTTCTTCAACTGATCTAAAAATACCAGCCAATCAAAAACAGCTGAGGTGTTCCCGGTGACCTCTGACCTCGAAAATCTACTCGTCAGAACATCGGTGTGTATCTGAGTGAAACGTGAGGATGTGGCTCCTCGTGAATCTCACCTCTGTCTGGAGACATCGCCATTCTCTTGCTGACGGGAGACCCCAGCCTGTCTTTGTCTGAGGGCAGGTACCTCTTCCTGTTGCCCTTATCACCCTGCTGCTGTTAAATAACGCAACATACAAATCACATCAGTGCCTTTCGGAGGGTATACGCACACTGTTTCATACATGAAGCCCAGTCCCAACACTTGAAGGTGGAAATGAAACCCTGAAGAAACCTCATCTCTCTCCTTTAACAACAGAACGAGACGCAGCAGTCACCTTGTTGAGAAGGGTGAGTTTGATGTCTTTGTGGGAACCTGAACCTCCATAGCTTCCAGGGGGGCCCATGTTGCCTGGAGGGGGATGTGCCGGGTGGCCCCCCCGGCTACCAGGTCCTGATTTGGGCACAGGGTTTCCTCCTCTGGGCGGGGCTCCAGACGGGTCCAGCTTCCGGCGATCATCCCTGAAGGGCTCGTCTTTCTTTGACGGTCTTTCTGTGGCGAGGACGAGAAAACATCAGCTCTATATTTCCCTCTAAATTAAAATCTTTATATAAAACAGTACCGTTGCTGTGGTCAAACACTGCCTAACGTTCTGCTTATTTTAAATCTCACTCTGGAGAACATTTTAAAAAACGGACGACCCTCACACTCATCGTAGACCGGACAGCAACACATCGAATGATCATCTTTCAGTACTTGTGTTAAAGAGACACAGAGGTGACGATAGATTTGAGAAAAGTCTTCATTTCTGACATAAATTAATTATTTTCAACGGAGACGTGTTTGTTTGTCCTTATCTGATTTTTTATCGCAGACTTGAACTTGTATTTATGACCTGACTGTCATCGTGTATCGGCCTGATCTTTATTGCCCTCACTTACCTCGGGTCTTGTCTCTTCCGTGCGGAGGCCGATCCCTCACCGCTGCTCGCTCCTTGCGGGGGTGGTTGGGTGCGGGCGAGTGGGAGCTGGCCGATGAAACCGGGCTTGCCAGGTCGGCGTACATGTCATCCGAGTCCGCACTGCGCACGGAGCTGCTGCTGGAGGACGCCGATGACACCGACGACACGCTGCTCACGCTCAGCGATCTGTAGCAAGAGACGAACAAACACTGCTGACTGCCTGTACACACCACACACGCACAGGTATGAACACACAGGGCGTGAATTGTAATGACCGTACCTGGATTTCCTGGATGGTTCGACACAGCGCATGAAAGCAAAAGAGAAGAATACAGAATTAACGAATGTAACCGAAGTCCAAGTGACAGCTAGAGAAATGACCTGAAGGCAGAGTTGAGAAATCGTGTTCAAGAGGACAAAGACAGGATTTGCGAGGCCACACTTTGAGCTTTGACCATCGAAATCAAATCAATTAATCTGCAAGTCCAACTGAACCTTTGCACCAAGTTTGAAGGAATTCCCTCAAGGCGTTCTTCAGATATCACGTTCACGAGAATAGGACGGGAGAACATTTATCAAGTAGACGTATGAATCTTCTTCTGCATCCGTTTGCTTGCTGATAAATATTCAGGTAAGACGTCCCCAGCATCATTTCTTATCTTGAAATGTTTTTATTTTATTCGATCACTTCCGTGTTCACATGGGTCCGTACCTGGACTTTCTGGATCCGGATTGTGAGAGCGAGTTGGAGGAGGATCTGGATCTGGAGCTGGAGCCAGTATAACTGCTACCACTTCCACTGACACTCCCACTCACAGTTTGCCTGAAGAGACAGAGAGAGACAGATCTGAGTTTTTTCACGATATTAAGAACGAAGTGTAACATCCAGCTCCTGGTTCAGAATCACACCTGTACCAAAGAAAAATACAACTGTCCTGCTACTGTCCTCGAACATAAATGTCCCATCAATGTGGACGATGTCACGGCCTAAAGGGAGAGAGTGACTCTTCAACAGCTGAGAGCAGAGGAACTGACTCCATGAACCTCGTGAGGGAATGCTGACTCATCATGTTGGCTCAACCACATGGTGGAAATCAGAGCCAGACAAACCCCGACGCTGGAAAAGGCACAGACACGGCGGCAGTGGAGCTGCTCAGGTAGAACAAGGTCTTTTAAACGCAGGTAAAAAAAGCAACTGACTCCTTTTCCCATTGCAAGTATGGACGTTTGCATTTCAGTTTGTTCTTCCTCGGTGCCGCGTCACGATCGCGCCAAAAACTGAGGCGCTCTCTCGTCAAATTAGCGCGATCACTTAAGTGTCTTGTTTCCATCGCTGCCGATTTGGAGCTGCAGCCGATAAAACTCAGATAAAACCCGGTGTCTCCTGCAGACTCATTTTCCCCTGAATGCAAACTTTATGCCGACTCTTTATTTACATTCAGTGCGACGGACTACAACTTTCTAACAGGTCATATTTGGACTTGTTCCATTCAAGTGTCGACTAAACATAATTCATTCATCGTTGTCATTATTCATGCTTGTGACATTCTGATGCTCGGACGTCTTAAACCCATCATCACATCATCTACAAACAGGCTCAGATATCAAGCCCTCAACCACACGAGACTGATTTATTGTCAGGAAGCTGGAGACGAACAGACGAGTCTTGGCTGGCACCTTAGCTTTATGGCACCTGATAGAACAGGTGAGCTGAAATCTTTAGGACTCTTTCAAGTACGCTTATTTGTTATTTTTATTGTGAGGCAGCACGGTGCTGCTTTATGAGGTTTGATTTGTAAACATGGAAGCATATGTCCACAGCATTTSAGTCCAAAACTAACTAGTATATCATATCGTGTAAGAATTAGAAATGTGGATGATGTGCAAAGAGCTGCTGCGACAACAAATCCACCAAACTCTGTTTAGAATTCTTCCCGTTTTAAAAGTTTCCTGCTGAATATTGGAGATAAACTTCTGAGTCCACAGATCTACAGCTCAGCTTCACTCTTCAACTTGACCCAATAATTAGAGTTATTGTTTTTACTGCTGCGTCCTATCACTGCACTCACACACACAATCTCTACAGTATTGCCCCAAAGTGCAC